TTACTTTTGATGCTGAATTCTTAAAATTGATTTGTCAAAAAAATTCAGCAACTTTGAACAATGAAAATTTTTTATTTGAATTGAAAGCCGTAAAAAGTTTTGAAAAAGATTTAATTTCTCATTTAACCATTTTCTGTTTGTTCCAATAAATAAAATCACCAGTAAGTGCAAAAAAGACCACAGGAAATATTAAAGTGGTTGTGTCTCGCTGAATTCACATCAAAGTAAACTTTTATATGAAATGGCGCAATGTTCTATATTACGCTAAGCCTAGTTTGTTCTCATCTCATTCGTTTCATTTCTTGAGCATAATGTTGTAAGTCTGTTGGTCAGATATAAGTGAGGGGAGTATTTGCTGAAGTGCCTTTGCTATCTTTTGATCTTCCTCCGGGTTGAAAGGGAGACACAGTAGGCTGATTGTCCTATTTCTTTTGAAAGATGCAGAGAATGGAATAACAGTCATCTTGTTGAAGTTGAATATTTCATACGTTGCAATGTCTTTTTCAGAACTTTTTCATTTTAATCATCTGTTCCGTATACATAAAACGTGTTTTACAAGTTTGTTGACAATATTTCATTCGTGGCGCGTAATGCATTTTTCGAATCCTCAAGATTGGAAGACTATATGACTTCGTGGTAATCAAACTGGAACATAGAAAAAGCAAGATATTTTGTTAATCTAGCTTAACGCCTGAAGAATTTGATTAATTTCATTGCATCTTGGCTTCAAGAATAAAATAAAATGTTGTCGTGTTGGACGTAGTCCGCATGGAACAACAAGGAATTCAGTTCACTTGCTATTTTTTCACGCATTAATTAATTATCCATAAGAATAGATTGGTGCACGAATAATTGTTGATTGCTTAAACAGTGACTTCTATCAAAAATGAACTACAAAAATATTCTTGAATATCTCATTAATGTTATTACTTTTCCTTCATTCTTTTTTGCATAACTTTCTGATCTTTTACTTATCAATATGAATTGATTTAATTTAGCCTCTTCTTCCCAGCGTGATCGTTATGATGTCGATCAGCCAATAACGCTTTTTCATTTCTATTCATATCTTTCATATATTTTACATGTTTACTATTTATCGCTGCGCCTACAAATTTTTTGAATTTTCATTTGCTCTTCACTTTGATTTTATTGAAATGAACGGACGCTGACAACCAGAACTTATTAAGTACTAGCAAAAAGAGTAAACAATGATTAATGGAAGTTAAAATAACTTACTTCTCATGATATTTCTCGTGATAAGAAAAAAGACTACACACTGAATAGTGCCAAATATATTTTACACTTTATCCTATTTACCAACCATCAAATCAAAATTTCCGAAAATTCTCAAAAGCGCTCCTTTCTTGCTATTGTGCCACATCTGCTTATGAATTGGCGCTCTATTCTTTGCCAAAAATTTTTAATACATAGCGAACAAATTGAGAGAGGTTTTTTTCTTTTTTTAAATTATTTGGATAATTTTGAATAAGTCTTTTTTTGAATAATTTTCATTTCAGCAGCTGTCAGTAATTTAATCACTTAAAATCCAGAATGCTGCTTCTACTAATAATATCTGTTGTCGAATGTTCTGCAACCACCATCACCATCTTCTTACTTTCATTTCAAAACAATAAAAAAATTTCCATGCTACCGAAATCCATTATTCAGGTAATTCACTGTAGAAAATGAAAATGTTCTCGTCAACGTTTGAAAAAAGAAAAAAATTAAATTGCAAAAAATAGCGCTTGAGTGTTTTTTTCCGTCGTATACTACTTACACATAGCTTTTTCTCCAAAGAGCTCTTGAAAGAGTTTTAAAATTACAATAGACCAGTATAATTCAATCAAATTCCTACTGAATATGTATTACTTGGACACAAAAAACTTTCAAATAAATTGCTTCCGAAAACTAATTTGTTTCACTAATTGTCATATTTTTTAAAATGGAATTTAAGCAATGAATTACATTTTATTGGGATCAGATTATTTCACTGTTGGATTTTTCTCTCATAAAGTTGCTGATAAAATTTTCTTCAATATGCTTTTAATTATCATTGCAAAAATACTTTCATGTTCCGAACTTCTATATGTATAAAATGAAAAGATTCATGATTAGAATAACGTCCTGTTAAAAAAAAAAAATATTAATTGTGGCTGTACGAAAAAATGTTTAAAAAACATCGGAGTGCTTATAAAAATTTACTGCTTATGATTTTGTTTTATTTTTGGAAAATAGCATAATAAAATTATTGCAGTACAATAAAATCCGTGCTGAATATTTTAGAAAATGCAAAGAACTGCCCAATTGAATGGCAAAAAAGTAAGTCTTTGAAAAACATTGGTGTTAAATTTTGGCAAATATGAATAGGTGAGTCTTAATGGAAATCTTCTTCCTTCTTTTGTAGTGAAACGAGTTTCTTTTAGTGTTTTCTAAGCACTTCGCCGAAGTATTTTCTGACCAGTTATAGGTCTGATTTTAAGAAAAAAACATGAAATTTATTTATCATTGTTTCTATTTTCTTGATACCAATCGAAAATCTCCTTTCCAAATATTCAAGTTTATAACAATTCGTCCCGCCTATAATACGATGTTGGTTAGTGAAAATCACGAAAAAAACTTTTGCTTAGTCATTTCCATTTAAGAAGATAGCTAAGATTGTATGAATATTTTGAGAAGATAAGAACTAGGCTAGAGCAAAAGATTATAGAAAAGATGCAATGTTGTTTGAACTCTAAAAACTTTCAAAAAACAATATTTGTGTAAATCGGGTGGTGGGACAATCACTAGAATAGAAGATAGATCCCTTACTCGGAATACCTCTATCTCGATAAACCTGAACCGTTCCAGCAAACAGGTCATGCCACATCAATTAGGGATAATATTTAGTGAAGGTACACTTAAAAAACGAATTCCAAAAAGTTGATGATGTTGTCTAAAAGTGGAAAGAGCTTTAAATTAGCGCACTTTCTATCCAGCTGTCTGTACCTGTGCTGTATGCATTTCTGTGTCGTGTCTCTGTATGTAAGGATGAATGCTTACAAAATTAGGCGCTCTTCTTCTCTACAAAAATTAAATTTGGGGTTTTTGTTCAGTTAATTATCTTTAAAATATTAGCCTGCAATTTTTGCTTTAAAATTCCACGAAGTTTTGTGCACTTCAAAATACCATCGTGTTTTTTATTCAGAAAAGTTATTTCTTGTCAAAAATTCACTTCTATGTTCAATTTCTCAAAATATCCAAATTAAATTGGATTTATCCGTTTACCTTGGAGTAATTTTTTAACAAAAAAGTCGTAATGAACCAATAATTTCAAAAAAAAACATTCGATTTTAGCTTTCGTAAATAGGATTTTGTTTGTTTGATTTTCAACTTCGAAAATTTACGCAGAACTAGAATCTTTTCCTTTTTTTGCACCAACTACAGAATGTGACGAAGATTCAGAAGAATAGACTAGAAGGCTAATATTATTTAGATTCTATTAGAGTACAAATGTTGGATATCAAGCAGAATCCTTAAATGCGCTTCTTTCTGAATGCGTTATCCACTTTTTTCCCTAGTTTTAAATAGTAACAGAATTTAATTTGTATTTAATGAAAATTTGATTTCTCTCGAGATGATTCACAATAAATTTGCAACTGAGAAATTTATCCGTCTTTGCAATAATTCTTATGCTTGGTCCAAAATCAATAGATCAAGTTATAATCAATCCAAACCAGTATTATAACGGTGATTATACTTTAAAAGAGAAATAGGTAATTGCAAATGATACGTAGGAGTAGTTTCTATTATGAACAGGGATGATTTGATCTATGCCTTCAAAATATTTTTCTTTGGTGTACAGTATTTGTACTTTAAGGTATGCTGTCTCTCGAAATATTACTTGCTTTATCTACCCGTTACACTTGCATTCCTTTCAATATCTGCAATTTTTTTTAATAAACACTTCTTTTTCAATATGCAGTTTTAAGCTAATTGGTTATCATGGCACTAATTTAACTTCAGTGCAATTAAAGTGCAGTTTTCAATGTTTCAACCTTATCTTAAAAATTTTTCGCTAAGTACTCGCCAAATTTTTAAAGTATATCAAAGAAGATATTTGAAATTTCAGTAACTTCTTGATTTTCTGCTACATCTAATTCCGGGTGAAAGTAAAGCACAGTCAAAATATCACAAATAAAAATAAGTGGATGCGTATTCGCTCATAAACTTGAAGATCAAAATTTTAGTGTTACAATGGACGAATCTTAAGTTCATAATAATTCGCAAAAGTTTCAAGTAATACCAAAAATGCTGGATATGTCGTTTCGAACTTGTAAAAACTAGCAAATCTGACCATTGATTTCTGCAAATGACTAATCACTTCAATTGATTTACTAAGATTTAAAATTACAATTTAAAACTATATAGAATTAAGGAATGTTCGAAAATACTGGGTGACCGATGAGTTATAAAAACGACGCAGATATGATAAAATATAAGGTAGTCTGCATTATGAATTATTAAATACATGTTTTGACCGATTAAAATTACTGGATTAAGAAATTAATTTCAATATGATGTCTTAGCAAAAAGATCGTTCACTTAAATGGTCCTGACCGTTTCTTGTTTCGCCAATAAAATCAGAACGTAAGTAATTAATTGCCTGGTACTTGAGCTTTGTAAATATGAAAAAAAAAAATTTCTGAAAATATTGAACCGGTGTTGCCTCTACTTATTTGTTTTCTTGGATATAATTTTAGACAATTTCTTTTTTCTTTTTTCAAATTTCGTTTTTGACAACAGAAGTCCTTGTAGCAGATATCTTGTTAAAAGTGCGGCTAAAAAATAAGGATAAGGAAAGACAGACCTTTGGAAGGGTTTTTCCATGCTTGTGATTGATCGTCTGCACAAATCTATTCTCGAAAGTTTATGAAGTTTTAACAAACTTAAACCAACTCAAATAAACTGGCAATGAAAGCATTTTACGGCTAGGGCAACTCCATTTCATTCATGCATGAATAATGACGCAAACATTCGAAGGATATTCTTTTCATAGTACTAGCGACGGCATTTTGGAAATGGATCTAATCCAACAGCGTCTAATATTGCAGTTTCGAAAAGAAAAAAAAAAAAAACCAATGAGAGATTGCAATCATCCGATGTTCATTATGGAAGGTCACTTAAATGTCTTAACAATTATGCGTGAAAATGACTTTAAGTTCCCTTAACATGAAAGCTAAGGTTTTTTATCTTTAATATTCTGTGTTTTCTTTTCATTCTGAATGTCGTGACAGTAAAAAAAAGTAAAAGGAAAAAAATGGCTTGAAAATAGTAATAAAAATAATGTAATGACGGAAGGAAAGAAAGACAAAATCAAAGTTTGGCGATTCTCGAGAGTTTCTTCCGATTCTAATATGAGCGTAGGAAACGATGAAAACATATTCAAAAATATGGTGAACTTTAGTAAATATCATTTATACGGTACATGAAGTGTGCTTTGTACCCATAAGAAGTGTTACACCTGTAGCAATACGCAGAATAAGTGAAATGTGTCGCACCCAGAGGTCCATATCTATGATGCCAAGAAGGAGGACGAGATCCATAATTATGAAACCAAGAAAGTGGATGAGTGTAGAAATGCACGATGGTAATTATGACGGTAGCGATTTTGATAACTGGTGGTTAAGGTATATGTTATTGGTCGAACTTGGAATGTATTTTTTGACGGTAGTTAGCATAATTAAATATCGTTCAACCCTGCCTTTCAAATTGTACATTTATTCACTTACAAATTCTAAATTTAAATATAAATTTAAGGATAATTTGAAGATTAGAGACAGTGAATAGCACAGTATTTCCCTAATTACACAACTGAAGAAATATCTCGATAGGACAACTTGATCTGGACTGTCTTAAAAGCTACAAAGTGAAAGTTAATTCTGATACCCTGCGAATATTTTTATCCATGTTGGTATAAAGAAATATGTCCGTTTTCTTTAGATTTCGTTGCATGATTTTATCTATCGTTTCTATTTTCTTGCATTAGTTTTCGATTTGCTCCTCAAAAAAGTGGAAATATTTATTATCCTAAGAGTTTCATCCCGTACTTCTGTCTCTAGGTATGCATCATGAAGGAATCAGCAGCAATGTTGAGAATAATAATTGGTGGAAGTTAACCTTCAAGATAACTTCCTGAATAAACTTCTCATTTCACAATATATTTTGTTTTGTTAATTCTTGTTTTCACAAACTGGTTTAATTATTATATTAAGCGAGCTGCATTAATCTAAAAAAAATACTTAACATTAAGTAAATCAAACGAAAGTGCTGTTGAAACCCCACTATCTACAACACTTCTGTTATATTTCATATGTTGTAGTTAATTGGAAAAGATCTCCAAATCTATAAAATACAATATGTCTACAAGGGTATTATGCCTCATTACTTCAGCAGCATTGTTGACTGAAAAGAACTTATAAAAATTTTTGTAAATTCGATTCAATTATTTTTTAATTATCTAAGCTTCTTTGCTTCCGTCATTTCTGGTGATATCACCGTTTTGGTAACTTAAAATTCCAATTTCTTACCGTGTTGTTCACATAATTAGTGATTATAGTTAGGTTTGAACGCATAAAAAATTTAAAATTTATATATCATTTGTATAGTAAAAACAAGCCACTGATTAAGCATTGATAAAAATTACATAAGAACTTCTGGGTATAATAAATCAAAAATAATTCATTCATTCATTCATTCTGATCGACTACGGCGAGAGTTCACCAGTTGCAGCATTATTGATCTACTGGATGAGATGAGGTCAACGAAAAAGTCGAATACTTAACGAGACGATAGGATTAATATTTTAACAAACATGGATCACCAAATAGATTTGGCAAGTTGATAAGAACCAATTACGAGTACGATAAACGTTAGATTATTTAGCTATAAATTTTCAAAACCGATAACGGAACGACTGAGTTATTACAAAAAAAACCATGACACTATTGGCATATGCAAGCTACGGTACACAAATACAATCAGAATCACGGCGTGAGATTTTTTTTTAAAAGAATACTTGGGCTAAGTCAGGTATGCAATTATCATGAAATTAAAATTAGAAGCAAAACTGCATCGAAAACAGTCATGTTGATTGCATTTTTCTCACACACTGACTGTGAACAAAATAATCAAAAAAAAAAAAAGAAAATTTGGATTTGATCAGTAAATAGCTAGAAGCAAACTTCAATAAACCTTTAGTTATGGAAAACAGTAATCATCGTCCCCACTTGAAACCATAAGCTGCTTCCCATGCAAGCTGAATACCTTTTTAAAACTAGTCCTTAAAAACTAAATTCAAAAAAGTCACTTTTTCATCACTTTTTCAGAAGGAATGAACTTAAATTTCTAATTTAATTAGTCAATACGCTAATCATTTAGTTCGTTCTATTATTCTATTCCTCATTAGCATTTTATTTCGCATTGATATTTATTATGTTTAACAAATTAGCTGTAGATTAAGAATAATGAGTGATATAGTGGAACAATTTGTTATTATGCTTTTCACTGGAAATGAATTCAAATTTCATTAAACTTCGTGAAGAGCAAAACGGAACAAAAAGAAATCGAATTTATTTTTCGTATTTCACATATATCTCAACTGTCGTATTTTGATACCACCCTAAATTCTTCATACATAATAAATAACACTTCCAACTTCTTTCAACAAAACTGACTGAAGCAAATATTTTGAAGAAAGGAAATGATGGATTAAAACTTTAAAATGTCGATTAAAATTTGGTTGGAGGATATTGAATGCTTATATAAATGTGCACTTATGCGCTATAAATAATTTTATGAAGTTTTTGGTGTTTTATTTCTTCGATATGAGAACTGCTCGAAAATATAAATTAATTAGAAATCGACTCATTTTTATTTCACTCCTCCAGGTAAATGACTTCCCTCCATAACAAAATGTGGTATGTATTGAATCATTTTAAGTTCATTCCTTTTCAAATTCGTAATTCACTACCACTATATTTCGTTTACTTTAAAACTGCACTAGTGAAACTCTCGACATTTTTCAAGAATTTATTATTTATTGGATGAACTATAAAAATTAAAGTATAGAATGGAATGACTAAATTTATTTGTCACAGTGAAAGACGTGTTGACTTTATTAATTTATTTAAAGTACCAAATTTTTCCGACAGTAATTCAATTTTCTCGTGATCTCTTTTTGTCATTTATTCAATCATTTGAATAGTATGCTTATAGATGCTTTTATTAGCGGGCAGAAAATTACAAAATTTGCGTTTTCTCACGGATTTACTCAAACTTAGAATAACTTATGTTCTGCTTCTGAGTTATAATGCTGAATTATTGATTACATCGTTAGAATTGTAATTTCGATGTCTCGATAGTCTATAATATATTACACATTCGATAATATATCTCAAATTTTGTCTCTAAGTTAACTACCAATTAAAATCTTAATTATCCGTGAAAGATCGTTCATTCTCCAAACAAGTTACCAATTTTGTAGAATGCATGACAAAAGCAATAGAAATTTAACAAACAATTTCTACGATAAAAATTCAGAAGGTACGGTAATTATCATTTATATTATTTTCTTTCCTTTTTTTCTTCCATCAAAAAAAATAAAAATAAAAAAAGAATGGAAAAAAAATATCAACTCAAAGGCACGTTATAGAACGGAGGTTTAGATTTCCTTGACAAAATTTATGCTAAATATAAATATTATTTATTTAAATCAAATTATTTTCACTCTGGTATATTACTGTAATTTATTGGTGCTACAAAAGTCAGTAATTTGAAAAATATTACCACTAATGAAAACAAAATTAGACATTCATAAATACTTGCAGCTTTAATTACTACTTTTATTAAATAACTACGTATTTGATAGAGGTTATTATTAAATAGAGGTTATTATTCAATTGCAGATACTTTATCGAACACATTTTCATTGCTGGTTGTGGTTATGCATATCTTAGCAAATATGAATGCGCTCGAAAAGGTATCTGCCTTTATACCTGGTCATTTTTCAAATCTTTAATTTCCGGCGATCAGCGACCTTCAAAGTATTCTAGCTGTGAGAAAATTTTTGCTGCCCTCCACAGAATCGAAGGCGTATTTCGAACCTTGTATTTTAGCATTTCCACGAAATGTAATCTATTGTCTATCATTGTTATCAAACCACTTGTCTTTCTCTACTTAAATTGAAACTAATGAAATGACTTAAGCCTGTTGAATGAGGATTAACCACGCATGACTATGCAGTAGTTTCGGCGAATTTTTTTTCGTGATAAATGTTTCCGAAAATTATTGTTTAATTCCATAGCTGTTCCGAACACTGAATAGATTTTTGGTGAGGCATTGCTTAGTGTGATATATGTCAGTTCAAATAATCATTTAACAAGTCGACAAAAATTTTCAGTGCAGTTCTGTATAGATCGGCATTGACTAAGCATATGATAGTCATTGTCTTACCTCTTATTTACTCTAAATAGTGAACTATTATATTTTCTATGGCATCCTGTTTATCCCTTGGCTATTACTGAAGTTTAAATAATTAATTTCTTGGCTAACAATACTTCAGTTATAGAAAATTAAGTTCTACACTGAACCTTTGCAACGGACTGACTTACTGGAGCAATGTTTGTATGATTGAGATTGAGACTGTTGTTTAACTTTGAATAACTTATAGGTTCATCACTTTCTGTAGTTATTGTGCTGAATATTTTACTTGTTGTAGTGGTAGAGAGAACAAAAAGCTCCGCCAGGCATCAATGTGAAATAGCATGAGTCTTACAATATACCATTCCGGATTTTTGTAAAGATATATGCTATATCATTAAGATTCTGATTATGATTTTTATTTTCGCATCTGCTCACTTTTCCAAGACTGTTTCAGTGTTTCGGAGCTTAACAGGATAGCTGAGAGAGGAATTCAATTTTTCTTTAGTTCAAGATAGATCATTTTCACTTCACGGATTTTTTATTGTTTTAGTTGGATTGAAACTTATTTCACATTAGTTGGATTAATCCCGTTCCTTTTCTCTCCTTCTTTTTCACCCTCCTTTTGAAATCAAGTATTTTACAAGCTTCTTTGATCTAACCATTACTTACATTAAAGACTTTAACATGATATTTAATTTTCCGGTGATGTGAATGGAAAAAGTTTTTATTTTTGTGCGAAATGCATAAATGCATAAATTCACTTCAGCGTAGGGATTTCAACATTTTGGAGATTTTTTTGCAAACTTCGAATGCGCATAATCAGCAGCCTGTGTCCAGTTTGATATGATTTTTATATGCAAAACAATTATACATATAAAATAGTGTGAAGGAAAAATACATATTTATCGAATTACGACAGGTCATCTTTAATGTGTAGCTATTGATTTCCAGTTTCTTATAACTTTTCTTCTGCCTGTCTTGATGAGGAACTTTCTTAACTCGTGATAAGAAACTTCTCGTGCTAAAAAGGCCGGTGTGGGGATTGGCAAATTCGGTTGCGAAAAGCACAGGAGAAAGTCTTCTAGTCTCCTTTTCTCCTTGGAACTAATTCTAGTTTTGTTCTTAAAGGAAGCAGCAACGTCATGAATGATGTGTCCCTGTGTTTTCCTATTAAGCCACAGTGAACAATTAATGGTAGTCTACCTGGCCAAAGTTGAAGTATTGTTTCAGGGAGCCTTTTTTTGCGGAAGCCGGTGGCAAATTCACCACAGAGCACAGTCATAAAAAGGTGGTCTTCCTTTCAATGGCTGTTTAGGATTGTACGCAACCAGTGCTGGTGGAAGCGTTTGAAAAGTTGCAGGTGATGGTGATGACATGATTCAGATCCATATAAAAGAAGAGGCAGTCTGGCTTTACAGACTTTGCACTTCTCTTCAGCTGTTTATTGCACCAGACTCCTTCATGGAGTTTTCCGAAAGCTCTGCATGCCTTTACAGTCAGTTAATCTCTTTGTCGATCTTGGCGTTAGAAGAAATGATGCTACCCAGATAGCTGAACTGTTGGGCTGGTTTAAGTTCTAATTCGCCTATGGTGATGTGAGGATGAAGGTAGTCATCCTGTGGTGCATATACAAACTTCTGTTTTCTTCAACCTTTATCCAACCGAAAAACTCAGCGATCTTGCAAAGCAGGATATTAAATGCTGCAGAATTACTTATGTGAACCGCCCTTATGAGGGCGGTATTGTCGGCAAAAAGTAGCCCTCGAACGTGGTAATTTAGGGTCTTGGAGTGAGCCTTCAGTTGTTTTAGGTTGAATAGGCTTCCATCAGCATAATATTTAGATGTAAATGCCATTTTCTTCATAGAGGTAAGCGGTGGCTTTCAGAGTTGATACAAGAACGCAATCTTGTTTCACCATCGGTTCTTAGGAAGGATTCAGAGAATGCATCGCCATATCTGACTTGACCGCACTGATCCTCATGTAATAAGATAATTTTACTTTGAGGAACTTACGGAGACATTTTAATCGTTCCAAGATCTACCACAGATATTTCCTGCTCACAGTGTCAGAAGCTTTGATGAGGTCTATGAGACTTATATGGAATCCTTTGTTCTGTTCCTTGAGTTGCTCTTGCAATTGTGGAGAACAAATACTATATTTGTGGTATTTGAAATTATCGAGGTATTATATTTGTGGTACTCCTATTAACTCTGAAACCACATTGGTTTTCAGATAGTTTTTCTGAGGTAATGAGTACTAATCGGTTCAGAAGAATTCTTGCCAAGATTTTGCCAGCAATGGAGAACAAGATAATACCTCGATAATTTGAACAATCTGATTTTACTTCTTTGTTCTTTATGGGGTGATAGTGATTGCATTACGGAGATTTGGTGGCAGTTCGCCTTTTTCCAAACAGC